CCTCCGCAACTTGATTCCCTTTGACGTCTTTTGATTCTTCTCATGTGCACTGATCTTAGAACCAAATTTCCCATGAATCAAGTGTAGTAGACCCTTGAACCATACATGCTTCAATCTGAAACAATCTGATCCAGTCTTTTTGTTTAAACAACCACATCTCTGAATCCATCTCGTACCGCCATCATCACCGATGGAACACGCCTCCTAACCAATCTCGTAGGGAAGACTTTCGACACAACCTTCCATTCAATTTTCATGTTTAAACATACCTGTTTACTAGTAGATTTTCAGGACTAGTAAACTCAAAACCAATCTCTTATCATTAATAAATAAACCATGACACTTGAGATTCTCTTTTACAGCCACCTTATATCACATTTCGAGCTTGTGATAACCTTTCCCGCTGTAAAACCAAAACCACCCAATACTCTTTTTCTTCTGTATTGAGAATTCACCAAATAATATTTGGTGCTTGCATCACAAGTCACTTACCATCAGAACACTTTCTGATTTATCAATATCTTATGAACATGTCTTTGATATTGATCCTTCCTCACGTGAGCTTTAATTCACTTAACTTCCGGAATAAATCTCCTCAATCCTCTTCTTATGATGCCACTAGACACAAGTTTAGCCTTACTTGTGTACCTTTGTCAATGCAGCTTGCTTAATCCTGCATTCACATCCTTTCTTGGATGTCTTTAGATTCTAGAACACATTTAGCTTCTCTTATTTATCCTGCAATTGCTATTCCAGAGAAACTTTCTTCAACTTTTCTTTGGTGCAGACTTTCACAACTTAATTCCACCAGTTGTTAACTATCAAATGCAGAAAACTCCACCTGCATTTGTGTCTCTCTGTCTGCATTGATGTCCTCTTCTAGAATCCTTCTTGAAGTGTATAGAATGAGACACTAACCATGATTCACCCATCTTGTTTTCTTTTATCTTGGAGTCTTCCTCACGTCTGATTAAAGAATAACTTAAACTGAGTTACTATCAATCTTCACCTCAATACTAGAGATCACATAACATTAACCTCTCCTCGAGCAACGCCAACATGTACATGTCTTGTACCGCTGTTTAAACCAACAGAACACGCCGCCTAACACCATTGTTAGGAAGACTATCGACACAAAACCCGAGCACAGTCCATTGCGTAATAGCATTGGGAATAATTCCTCAAAGAACATGTAGTCTCCTATGCCTTAATTTTCCATTTAGGCCATCAGATGCTTCTTTGATGATTGAAGATCTGATCAACACAAGATACCTTCAAAAAAAAAAAAAAACATGGCTCCACCTCAAAGTAAACACCTTCTGAAATCAGAATCCGTCATCTGCATACACTCTTCTTGCTTCCACAGTCTCATTTCAAAGATCTTTAACCGTTTCACACTTTGGGCTAGTGAAACTCTTTGATGCATCTGAAGCAATAACCCGAAACTGCTTGTGATGTGACTGAAGCTATAGCCACGCATTCTACCTCACACATACCCTCTTCGTCTGTTGTTCCCACTAGTGACACTTGACGTAGCCAGCCACTACCAAGATGATAACACATCTTTCTGATTTTCTCCAACAAACTTCTTTTGAGGCTATCCTTGTTCCTGTATGACTTTGATGCCTCTTAAACCTTTATACCTCTGTTGTTCTTGTCAGAAACCCATCTGAATTAGCACATGAAACACCCTTAGTGCATCCAACAACAAATACAAAGAAATGAGATAGTCTCTTTTGATTTTCACTCGAGACTTCAGGTCTCCTGATGATGCAACCTTTCAAGACCCTGATCATCAGACCTGTAAGCATCTTCAATTCTCCTAAACCAGATCATTAAACCTAAGACTAAACTTCCAGCTGTTCTTACTCAAATCTTCCCCATATATCTGAAATCTTCAGAGTTCCGTAACCTGTTCTGAAACCAGTAGATTATAAGATCTTGTGCTCACAACTTATCTGCATTACCTTTCTCAGAAACATATGAACCTTAATCAATATCCCAAGCCAGCCATTAACACATAAAGGTCTAAGTACTAAGGCGTCCCCTAGTCCTTATCACTCAACTCCAACAACTGCTCTTCTATGACACATTGAACACCAACTGTATTAGTCCGTTTACAGCCATACTTCACTAAGAAAACAGCCTTTGTGATTGCAGCGAAAACTTTGACAAGATGTCCTTCAGATTTGAGCCAAGAAACTGCTAACTGATTCTGAAAATAAACTTGACATTTAGTCAAACTAAATTGGACTCCCGTCTTTATGAATCAGAAATCAATCTAAGACTTTGTGATATCCTCCATCACTAAACAGTCTCATACTCTTGAAGCCTTTTGATTTCACAAACCAGGAAACCAGCTTCATCCAGTTCGAGCCTTCTCTTGAATCTGACTTTCTCCAAACTCGTGTCTTCAACCAAAACCAACCGAATCCTCCTTCTTCCTCTTGCTTGTGGTACCTCCTTGATCCCGTGAATCTATGAGCCGTAGCTCTGATACCACTTGTTAGGATCTTAAACTTGAATCTAGGCTTAGACAAGTTAATTGTTCACGGATCAAAAACAAACATAAATGTAAATC